GTAAGCCGGGGGAGGCCGGGGCAGCGACGGGGAGGGGAGGGAGTTGCGGACGGCGCGTAGAGGGGGCTTGGGATCAATGGAGCCGGCGTGCTGGCTGTCTCCGTTTCGTGGGACCCTGATAAAAGGAGACTGCCAGCACTCAGACAGGCAGGCGGGGAGCGCCGCTCTCCCCAGCTCGCTGGGCTGCGGCCTGGGCAGAGGAGGCCGGGCTGAGCGACACTTACGCCGGCGGCGGCGGCGGCCGGGGTAGAGTCGGGACGAGAGAAACGCGCAGACCCTCATCGCTGTCCTGCATAAACAATCGAGTAACCGCCTTCCCCGCGTCTGAACCCGCCGTCCTGAGCGGGTCTGGACCGGACCTGCGGGCGCACGTCTGCACTTTTTGGCAGAGACACCCACCTCCTCCCGTCTCCGCGCCACATCACCCCACACCACCCTCGGGTCTCCTTCTTCAGGGCTGGTTCACGACATCTCGACAGTCTAGTGCATCATGTCCGGAACGGGGTTATGAGTCCCCGGACACGTTTTCTAAACGAACCGTCGCGGTTCGGAAGCCGTGGTTGTGATCATGGGACCGAGGTGAGACTCCAGCATGCCTTCAGCAAAACATCTCGCCTTCGGGGCGACACGTATCATTCTTGAATGTGTGTCAGGTAATATTCACGCTGGTGAAGAACCTGTAGAGATAACAATGTTTATACCGGCTGTAGCAAACTGTTTCATTCAGATCAGTGTTACGGTTTAAGTCACCGCTTTATAGCTATAAGATATCGCTGCTCTGCTCTGGAATCAGTCCAGAGAAGAGGAGTCAAGTATGTGCTGAAACTGAAGGAACTGAGTCTCTTTAGTCTGAAGGAAGTGTCCTACACTGACAGGCTGAAGGAACTGAGTCTCTTTAGTCTAAGGGAGTATCCAGCTCCATCAGAAACGAGTCTCTTTAGAGGGGATGTCCTCACTGACAGGTTGAACGAACTGAGTCTCTTTAGACTGAAGGGAAACTACGATGGGACCTGACACAAGTATTCAAAATCCTCAAAGACTTCGACACAGTCAACCCAGTGGACTGTTCTACTGCACTGGGACTGTAGCCCCTATTGTAACAGGACTGTTCTACTGCACTGGGACTGTAGCCCCTATTGTAACAGGACTGTTCTACTGCACTGTTGATGGTTGTTTCTGGCTGTATGTGAAGTGAATTGTTGACAGGGCTGCAGTGTTTTTGAGTGTGTGGTGCTGGACAGTGTTGATCTTCTTTGTCGTTCACAGATTGCAGCAAAGATTGGAGGTGATGCTGGAACAGCACCCCTGAACAACACCAGCAGTACCGAGAGCTACACCTTCACTGCGCAGAAACGCCAGCTGGAGGATGCAGGTGTGCCTTCTGATCCCCGATTGTAACTCCAGCCTGTTTACTATTAACATTAATTTCTTTGCTGTGCCAGTAATCTCGTAGTTTGCCGCCTCAATACTCTTGGTGTGCCTTCACTGTACTCGCGCTGTGTCAGTAATCTCGCGCTGTGCCATCACTGTACTCGCGCTGTGTCAGTAATCTCGCGCTGTGCCATCACTGTACTCGCGCTGTGCCAGTAATCTCGCGCTGTGCCATCACTGTACTCGCGCTGTGCCAGTAATCTCGCGCTGTGCCAGTAATCTCGCGCTGTGCCATCACTGTACTCGCGCTGTGCCAGTAATCTCGCGCTGTGCCATCACTGTACTCTCGCGCTGTGCTCTCATTCCCCTGTGTTGTACTTTGCTCTGTGCCTCTTGTCACAGAGTTTGCGGCCTGCGTTGTGACGCTGTGTGTGTGTTGTCTTGCAGAACAGCCGGACAGTAAGAAGATGGCGTCTCAGAGTGAGCGGGACTCCTCCTCTGCTCTGTGTGAGTGCCTCCGCTCGTCCTGTGGCTGTCAGGGGAGTCGCTCCTGTTCTGCGCGTGTCCGTTTCTGTCCGTGTCTGTCCTCTTCAGGCGTGATCTCTCCTCCCCTCGTCTTTCCCTCCTCCCTCTGCCTCAGCACTGACCTGCTCCCGGTTTCTCTCTTGTAGCCATTGGAGCTCAGTTGGCGGCCCTTCACCAGCAGAGGTAAAGACCCCTGACAGCGTGGGGGGCTGGAGGGTGGGTGTGAGAGGGTGTGGTTTCACAAGCAGATCCTGAACATAGTGGTTCCGTTTCTCTCATCTGATCTGCTCCCCTGCCTTTCTCCCTCACTCCTGCTGTCTCCGGTCCCCTGCTTCTTTCCCTCCTCTTCCTCATTCCTGCTCTATTCTCTCTCTCTCTCCTCACTCTGCACCCGGCCTCTCCCTCAATCCCACTCTCCGATCACTGCCTCTCCCTCTTCTTCCTCACTCCTGCTCTCTCTCTCCGCTTGCCTCTCCCTCTGCTTCTCTCTCCTCCTCTCTCAGGCCAGCGAGTACCACAGAGGAGTACCGCGTTCCTGATGGCATGGTTGGACTCAGTGAGTATCAGCCCTGTTTGTTTAATTGCTAATGGAGGGACGGGAGTTCATTTGGGCTTCTTAATTGCTCTTCTCTCTTTCTTAGTAATTGGTCGAGGAGGAGAGCAGATTAATAAGATCCAGCAGGACTCGGGGTGTAAAGTTCAGATTGCTCCAGGTGAGTGTCCTGTGGCCTATCACGCCTGTCCTGCTGGGCAGTACTGTGTCCGGCCGGCGGGCTGCCCGGGGCGGGTCCAGTGTATAAGCCGATGTTTTTTGCTTTCAGACAGTGGTGGTCTGCCGGACCGGAGTGTCTCTCTCACGGGGACCCCGGAGTCCATACAGTGAGTACATGACCCCCCTGTGATTGCGCCCTCGAGCCCGGGGTCTGGGGTCTGGGGACTGCGCTCAGGGTCCTTCCCTCCCTCCCTCCCTCCCCTCAGGAAGGCGAAGATGCTGCTGGACGAGATAGTGTCCCGGGGCCGCGGCACGCCGCCCACCTTCCACGAGTCCACCAACGGCCAGAGCGGGTCGGTGCAGGAGATCATGATCCCCGCCGGCAAGGCAGGGCTGGTGATCGGCAAGGGGGGCGAGACCATCAAGCAGCTGCAGGTACAGCTGGGTGTGAAGGAGTGGGCGCAGGGTGCTGGATTGTGCGTGTCTGGGGGGGTGTGGCTCAGCCGTGCTGCTGCGTGGAAGTGTCACTGTCGTGTTGCTGTGTAGGAGCGTGCAGGAGTGAAGATGATCCTCATCCAGGATGGCTCTCAGTCAGCCAACATGGACAAACCCCTGCGCATCATCGGAGAGCCTTACAAAGTACAGGTACTGCCTGTCTCTCCAGTATTAATGTACTGGAGTGTCCAGTCAGTCAGTGTGTCTGTATGAACCCCTCTCTCTCAGTGCAGTGTTAATGTACTGTAGTGTCCAGTCAGTGTGTCTGTATGAACCCCTCTCTCTCAGTGCAGTGTTAATGTACTGGAGTGTCCAGTCAGTCAGTGTGTCTGTATGAACCCCTCTCTCTCAGTGCAGTGTTAATGTACTGGAGTGTCCAGTCAGTCAGTGTGTCTGTATGAACCCCTCTCTCTCAGTGCAGTGTTAATGTGTTTTGGTGTTTATCATTACAAATAGCATTATGAAATTGTAGAATAAGTAAGAAATGACTTAGCGGATGTGATATAACCCCCAACCTGTAAGAATTTTGTCATGCAGTTGGTGTAGTTAGAGGCGTGTGAGTTATTTGTTTCCTGGCACAGCTTTGGGGAAAAGAGCAATAATTCACTCACACTTGGCTAAACAAATGTTTATTAGCAGTGACATAACATCAACATACAACACACGTTTCCCTATGTACAGTACAGGTTTACAGACAAGGGGTCCTAGAGGTGTAACATCCTAACCACCCAGTATAAGGCCAGCTGCCTTCTGGACTGAATAGAATGCAGTCTGCGGTTGAATCTCTCTCTCTCTCTGCAAACCCCAGATGTTACAAAACCCATCTCCTTATACTTAGATATACCCACTAACCAGGTGAGGCTATTTGTAACCAAAGGATTCTCCACTCAAGAAATCGGAGCTGCCTAAAAACACATTGAATCGCAAGCTCTCTTAGCAAGGTTCAATTACTTAGCTCAAACCTGGTCTTTATGGATGATCTGGGCAAGGAGCTCTCAACCGGCACACATTTTATGTTGTCTCCTCTCTTTATCGTTCTGTTCTGATCTCTTACATGGTGTCTTTCTGGACTGTTGATTGACGCACTTAATCATTTACCCGGAAATTAGCCAAGGTAAACTTCACGATTGCTTTGTTTACTGAATCTGGACCCCCTACATCTCGGCGAACATCAAACATCCCCTTCGCCTTGAAGCTGGAAATTTTGACACTGTTCTTTGGGACACTTCATAGTCGCCTACAGCTGTAACAACATGAACCGTCTCTCTTTGTCTCTCTCGTGGTGCAGCAAGCTCGGGAGCTGGTGCAGGAGATCCTGCGAGAGAGGGATCATCCCGGCTTTGTGGAGAGAAATGAGTACGGCTCCCGTATGGGCGGAGGGGGAGGCGGCATTGATGTGAGTGTCCTCCCGCGTCTCCCCTGACCCTGCCAGTACCCCTCCCGCGTCTCCCCCTGCCAGTACCCCTCCCGCGTCTCCCCCTGCCAGTACCCCTCCCGCGTCTCCCCCTGACCCTCCCAGTACCCCTCCCGCCTCTCCCCCTGACCCTGCCAGTACCACCTGTCCTCCTCTGGGCACCAGGGTGTTGCCTGGGTTCTGATGGATCGGTCTGGGCTCGTGTGCAGGTGCCCGTTCCTCGTCACTCTGTGGGCGTGGTCATTGGACGCAATGGAGAGATGATCAAGAAAATCCAGAACGACGCTGGAGTCCGAATCCAGTTCAAGCCAGGTGCTGTGCGCTACACACTGTCTG